CAATAGCTTTATTAATTTGTTGTCGAAGTAAAAGAAAGTTTTCAAGATGATAAGCATGATAAAGTTGTTTCCAGATGGAGTGGTATGTTGAAACCATAGTTAAATATAGAAGAGATTAACAAAAGTAAATAATTAAAAGTCATATTGTAATTGTTTATTAATTTGAGAGATCAAGGTGTAAAAGACTAAGGAACTGAGAAGATGAAATCTTACTTGAAAATTCCTAAGTAAAAAGGTAGCACAAACTTTTGACAGTGCTATCAGACTGATGAAAGCCTATGAAACACCTTCATAGGAACCAAAGATTAAAACCAAACATTAAGATGTATAGAGGAGCACATGACCAACCAGGCCACCAGATTCACCAAAGGAAAAAGATACTAAGGTATATCATACTAGGCTATTTGGATTGGTAATCTGAAATGAGACTGATGGTTCTGAGTTGCAGTTAGTAGAAGATGATGAAGAAGATGTCAAGAAAATAAGTACCAGAGTTTGAATAAACTTTACAAGAATAGAAATAGTGTAATATAGCAGTTTAAGGTTAGCCCTGACTGCAAGTGTTAGGTAACTATAGCATGTTATATAAAACTAGGTTAGCTATGTGTAGAACACAGAAGGCTCTAGTAACAATGCTTCTGAAAATACATTGCATAAAATAAGATATAGGGTCCTAAGGATACAGGTAAGCATCTAGACCTTCTTAACTAACTTACATAGCAGAAATAATCTAGTAATACAGTAAGGTTGCAGTACAGAAGATTTAAATAGGCAATACTCCTAGTTGGGTTGCAGGTATGACAGCTAGTATAGAACCATCAGCAAATTACTTAATTAGACACCAAAAGTATACATATGACTAGTTATACTCTCTAATGTAAGGAGACTCCTTTGAGGCCTTGGCTGTGAGTCTCTATATTCTAACTATACTGAATAAAAAGCCTTAACTCCAAAAGAAACTAATTTAACACAAAAAAAAAAAAAAAATTTTAATTTAAGAAATATTTTAGTTAATACTTGAGATGTTAGAAGATTGGATAAGTTTTTTAACAAGTTTAATAATATGTCCAAGTTTTTTTAAAAAAAGATGTAATAGGATACTATAAGGTAAATATTAGTAATTGTAACTTCATTTGTGAGAGATTTTGTTAGGAATTGTATGAATAGCTATATAGATTATAGAGCATTAAATTTTGTACCAAGTAGTTTTAATACTTTTATCAGTAATACTATTAATAGAAGTTTTGTATAGTGAAAGTTGTTGAGTTAAAGTATTAGCAAAGAAGTTCCAGTTTTCTGTAGTTATTGTTCTATAATTGAATATATGATAACTGATTCCAGTATATTTTTGTAAAAGTTTACTATAGACATATAGGAATGTCTAAATAGAGATAAGAATCAAGTAGTCACTTAAGGTAGAGGTTTGACTATTGTCAAAACTATAGGAAAAAAGAAATTGTATATTAAATTGGTCAGTTCAAATGTAGTCAATGTGACTACTACTAGTATTGTTAGATCAAGTAAAGTGTTTATTATTAAAATAAGCTTCAATATTATACATGTTGAAATGATTAAGAAAGTTAAAAAGTTTATATTTAGAAGAGAAACTATAAGTATGATTCTGCATATTAAAACTACTAAGGATAATAGAATAAAGATAAAGTTGAGAAGCTTGTTGGATACTGTATTTTGGGTTTGGTTGTGAATAGCTATATCAGTAGATAAAAGATATATACTGAGATAATATGAAATTTGACATTGCTTTAAAAGAAGTTATCAAGTGCAATAGCTTCTTCTAGATAGATATAAATACTGTAAATGTGAGGTTTAAGATAATTACAAATCATGATGGCTGTTCTTTCTACAGAAGTAGAAGAGTTAGACTAGTAATAGATAAAAAAATTATTGTTGCAGAAAAAAAGATTAGTTTTGTTAGAAATTGTTGTTTTATAATACTGACAATGAATATGTTATTATTAAGACAGTAATTTTGTCAGGCTTCTTTTTTTGTTAGGTTATTAAAGCCTCTAACATTGTGTGCAACAAAAGTTAGATTAAGATGATAAGAACTTAAGTCTAAAGAGTATAAAGTAGAGTTATAATTAATAAAAGTTGAGTAATAGTCATTAAAGAAAAAATCAAATAGAATAGAAGTAGAGCTAAAAAAGTTGGATTTGAGAAGAAGATTATAGAATAGTAAAAGAAGATGTAGAGCAATAATAATATAATCTGATAAAAGAGTATTATTAGAAAGTTATATGTGAGTTTTATTATAAAATGAATTAACAGAAAATGTAATACTAGATACAGTTTTGTTGTTATTATATTTGTTAATATGTTGAATTAAAGTTTGAATAGTTTGACTATAAGGAAGAAATAGTAAATTGTAATAAAGAAGAAATTTGTTAAAGCATATGTGAAGATTATAGAAAATTAAAGATATTGTAAAAGATCTTTCAAAATTGTCTTCTACAGGGTCACTTACTATATGCTTGGCTCTTATAGCTATGCAAAATACCATAGTTTGCTCTTTACATTGGGTCTAATCATTATTAACATGGCCTTTTACATAACTTATAAATAATTTATTATAGAAATATTAAATAAAATATATAAATCTTATACAGTATTAACTAAATAAAATTTGAACTTTTATATTTGATTTTAATTTAACTTAATTTGTATTCTAATTTAAAAAAGAATGTTGCTAACTTTTATCTAAAGTGATATCATCTTTTTATATATAAAGCCAATTATATTACAAAATCTTGTATAACAAAAATAAATAAATTTTTATGAAAAAATTAAAAATTACAAATATTTTAAAATTTTATTATAAAAACTAATTTTAAGTTATTAAGTAAAAATTTTCAGCATATAATTTTAGATATATATAACTTTATACTTTAACTCTAATATAAATTTGAACCCTAATTCTAATCTTCAAAGTTTATTTTATTTATTAATTTTAACAATTTTATAATTTAAGTAATATTACTCTAGATGAAAATTAGTTATTTCTTTAAAAAATATAAAAATAATGATTTTTAGTTAACTATAGCTATTTTTTTAACAATTATTAATTTAAATTTAATAATTTTAATTAAAAATATTTTATTTTTATTTTATTTTTTGTTTTTTCTTTAGTAGCCTTGTTATTAACTTTTATTAAGATTTGTATTTATATATTTGTATATACTTTAACCTAATTTTTTAGTTTGACATCTTCTAGTTGTTTTAGTAAGTGTTTAGAAATAATCTATCATACTGATTAAAATAATATTCAGATCTAGAAGTTATACTAAACTAGTTTAAAATATGAGTTTAAAAATTTCACGCACCTGCATGGCCATGCACCCCTTTTAAATTAATATGATTGGCTAATTTTTATTATTAGAAAATATTAATATTTTTACATTAAACATCAAAAAATATAACATATACATCTTGTAACCTTCAATAAAATCACTAACTAAACTAAAACTAAAAGCTATAATTAACCAATATACAATAAAAGTTCGATATAGTAAAGAATTTTTGAATTCTGAATTATTAAACTCTAACTTGATGTAATGAAGTATATAGTATTTTCTTGATATAAGCTATAGCTATTTGTGAGGGAATCTGAGGATTATTCTCATAAAATCTGTAAATGCATAGCCTTTATACTAGAGATGCAGTAACTGTTATACTTATGTCATAACTAGTTATGACATATGTTTTAACTAGTTATGGCCTAAGCTATAACAATTTCAAAGATTAAAACTTAAGTTTCAGTATGAAAAATTTAGATATACTTATCAGTTTGTATTAACATAAGTACAGAAAAAACTTATACTTAGCAATCATATGATTAATTAAATAATCATCAAATTATAGAATTATTACATCTCACAATAAAGATTATAGTAACATATATCTTGCAAAATTAAACTTTCCATCGTATAATAATACAATAGAATAAATTATTTTATTGAAAAAAATAAATCATTATATAAATAAATGGTTTATTAAAACCACACCCTCTATCTAATTACTTTTTTAAACATCTAAGCTAATAATGTTCATACTCTTCACAATTTCCATACTGATTCTGATGCTTAGCTGGTGCTGGTTTTAATTCTTTTGATCATTTAATTCTCCTAGAACTTTTGGTGCATCTTTTTGCTTTACGCTTTTTGGGGTTTTGAAAAAATATTTTAGCCAATAGTTTATTTTCTTTATCATCTTCATTGTCATCTGAGTTATCATTATCATTACTGCATGTCTCATCAATATTATTATCAGAGCTATCTACTAACACATCTTTTCACAATTCAGTCAATAAATCCTGTAGTTTTTTAAGAATGTCATGCTGACAAAATTGAACTGCCCTTTGTATAATATCTCGTGCTATCCTCCACAGCTCTACATACAATTTTTGTTCACTAATATTCTCTTTTCTTTCATTTCAAAGATCAGCTATAAGTGTAAACAATTTATTGGTATTATTTCTCATTAGCTCTGCAAGTTGGTGTTGAAGATAGTTTTTATTAAATCGCATGGCAACATAATAGGGCTTTTCTTGTAAACTGCTATAAATATCATTATACCATCTTTTGTGAATATGTATAATATAAAATACAGCCACAGGACTACATAGCATCACCTAAAAAAAGTGGTGACAAACTATTCTATGACTTACAAGTCCTAAGCAGAAACATATATAAGTTTTATCAGAAAGAAGTATTACAAAATGACAAAATTTTGATGCTGTAATTGTGTGAATAGTCCAGGTTTTCTCAATTCTATTAACATCTACATTTCTTAGTACATAGTTTACAGAAACCTGCATTACATCTTTGTTATCTTTAATAAATTGTGTAGTATCCAATTTGGGTTTAAATAAAAAATTCTGTAAGTATAATAAGCCAATTAGAACAATAAATTTAAAGACAGTATAATGCATATCTCTTGATATTTAATTAGCTTAGCTTTTGTAATAAAGGATGCTTGATAATTTAAACAACTTTTAACTTTAATATGTTGAACTTTAGCATTGTGGGTATAAGAAAATGACTCAAAGCCTTGTCAACTTCAAGAAACAATGCTTGTGGTAACATGATAACAGAAGACATTAATGGAATTTGGGTTTTCCAATAAATATATTTTGTTTTGTTGCTTTCTTCATTTATACTTATTTCTAAAGCTTCAGAAAGTTCCATAAGACTAATATTAAAGTTTAAAACTAATCGCTTTATTTAAGCATTATAGCTCTTAACTCTTAATGTTGTTTGAATACTGGCTGTAAAAACTTTAGCTATGTATGCACATACTCATGCATGTTTTGATGAATATAATGTTTGTAGATACTTAATAACCCTAGGCTCATTATACTTTTCAGTCAATTGTGCCTACTTATGTTCAAAAATATTTGGAATAAGTGAATTTTGAGCCATATAAAAGTTCTTAATAAATTCAGTATATTGTTGACCTAATCAGGCCTCAAGGTTTCTAGGAAGATTTTGTGAAATATGAAAAATACAATGCATAGCATAAGATTTTCATACTCCTTGGATATAGCAAGGTCCAAAGCCGGATCAGCATCGGTTATAACAACCACAGGTACACAACTATTTGTAGCAAGTTTCATTTGATGTAAAACCTATTGATAAGAGTCTGCTGACTCTTTATCTATAAAAGCACATCTGACTAACCAGAAAAGCCCATAATTATCAACACATAAAAAAAGTGAAAGGGCCATGTCATAGTGATTTGTTTTAGCAGTATTATCATTTAAAATGATATTACTAAACTTCATTTAGAGAATAATTTGATTAGGAGACATCCAAAACAGTCTCCAGAGACTATGTGTTTCTCTGTTCCAATCAATTGCGATATATCAATAAGGATCTTTTTTCTTCTTCCTTAATAAATTCTCATATAAGAATGCAGCATCATTCGAAATGTTTTTTTGCTTCTTACAATAAAATTTTGCAGTTGCTTTGTGAACTTCGGAAAGATAAATTTCATGATTGAGAAATTCTTACTCTAAAGCTTTTTTAATCTGTAATAGTTTTAGTTTAATCACATTGATATAAAACTTTACACATTCACACATTTCTTAAGTAAATTTAATGCCATTAAAAAATTTCTCTCTATTAAGAGATAGTCTATGATTATGCATATTACTTAAAGTTATAATATAGATGTTGCCATATAGATTGTCTTTTGTTAGTTGTAACAAGTTTATATGCCACAGGCACTTCATGTATTTGGTATTTGTTTCCTTAACCAATTGCTTGTTTTTTGGCTTATACTCACCACTATGCTCACAATCTATTGTTTATTTGCGTATAACCCTATTTAAAGTTTTTTCACTACAGCCTTTTCTTAATCCAAATCCTTTCTGTTGAGCATATATTGTTATTACATTTAATGCTTCTTTCCAACTTTTAAATATCCCTCCTTCATATAACTTTTCTTCAGAAAAGCCTGACTTCTTATTTTTCTGGACAGCAACTACAGAATTATATGTTGACCCATCATCATGCTTAAGATCACTCAAGTCATTGTTCTTATTATGCATTATAGTAAAGAATATATATAAAATAGTATGAATAAAAGTAAGTATAAAAAATAAGTAAATATAAGCATTAATATAGTGTAAATTATGATGTCCTTATTACTTATAAAATATTTACTTCTGTTAAAGCTAAATTGTATGACACTACAATTAAACACTTAAAGATTTAAGTGTTACTTTAGTATATATAATTTGGCTTTTTGCAATATATATTAATAAGTTCTTGTTAAGCATACCTTTATTACAAATTTATCTTTGTTGTAGTTATCCTTGTTTGGTCATGGTTCTGCCTTATTTTGCTATAGTTCTGCCTTATCTTCATTACAGAGTATATTTGTCTTCGTTATAGCCTTTGCTATAGGGTAATACAGTACTTTATTTTTGTCATCAGATATGCTTTACTTTTGTTGTGAGTATCCTTTATTACTGAGTTTATACTTTGTTGTTTTCTTTGTTACTGGGTTAAATTACTTTGTTGCTTTTGTCTGTTCATTTATTACCACATCAATTTTTATTAAGGTTCTCTCTTATTTATAAAGTGTCATAACCAAGTTGATTTTATTTTTTAAAAAAAAATCACCTGCTGCTTGTTGTCTTTTTAAAAAGGTAATATAAATACACCCAAGTGCAGTTATGCATATAGATATTTTAATCACCCAATTAAAATTAGCATTGCAATAATTGGCAAAAGATTTTGGTTGGTCTGCGTAATCAATCAAATTCAATTCAAATTTATTAAGAAGCAAGTTTTGAAAAAATTTTTGCTATAATGATTACCCAGGTGGACATGCCACAGTATCTAATATTTGTAATTCTAACACTAATGTTCTGAAAGTTTGAGGCACTAGACACCTGAATTTCAAGGGTAATTTGCTGTGAAACTATTTACAATTTAAGGGGTACATGGCTACACAAGTGTATGAAAAACATTTTCCCTTAAAATATTATATAAAAATAGTCTTACTTTATTATTTATATAACTTTTTATTAAATCAAATTACATTTTTTTATCTTTCTTTTTTTTTATTTTTTTTATTATTTACTTTTTTTATATAGTAGCTTAGTTTTTTTCTATTTTAAAAATATTTTCTGTTTGACTATACATCTTTTTATTGTTTAGTCTTGTATTTCTTTCTGGTTTTTTTTTACTTTAACAATTAGTTAATATTTATTAGCTTTTTTCATTCAATAATAGCTTTATATCTTCTTTTTTATATATTTTTATAAAATTTATTTCATACTATATTGATTACTATAGTTAAAAATTCTCTTGTTTTCTTAAGTAACTTTAGTATATTTTATATTTATTCAATTGTTTTTTTTTAAACTAGACATTTAAATATTCTTATTTTTGTTTAAGTTGCCTTTTGCTTATAGTTATTTGGGTTTCACTTAAGAGTTTTGATCATATAAAATTAATTAAAAAGTTTTTTATTTTTTTAGTTATTATGTTAATACTTGTATGATGCTAAGTATTTCTGAATTTTTTCTTTTTTTTTTATTACAGAATATGTAAAATAGACTTTTGCAAAGGTTTAATATTTATTGTATTAGAGATTTTAGTAACAACAAACTGTTATTAAGTTATTTAATTAAAGTTTCTATTTGTGTATTTTTTTTAGTTTGTTAATCTACTTCTATTTTAATTTATAATCTTTTTCTATAAATATGTTCAGTTAAATACTTCTATCTTGTTATCTGATTCTATCTTTTTAATTACTAGTAAAAAATTTTATTTAGTTCTTGTTTGAAGATTTAAAATTTCTTTAAATTTTTTAACTCTGTAATATTTCTAATATTTTCTAATAAATTGTAATTCTTTTTTTTAATTGTTACTTACTAGATAAGTTTTCTTTTTCATTTTTAAGACTTGTAATTGCTGTTGTACTATTTGTACAAATTTTTATTTTTCTCTGTTCTGATGCTTTAAGAATAACAAACTAAATTACTAAAAACTTTGATTTTGTTAATAATAGCTAATTATATATATTAAAGCAGCTTTTATTTAATATTTTCTCTTCTTTCTCATATAATTGCACTCGGTTTGATCTTATTTGGTCTATTATTAAACCTTCTTTTTTTGATATTTTTCTTAGTGAGCTAATGTTTTTTAGATCTTTCTTTATTTTTTTTTTAGTTCTATAAGTTTATCTTTTATTAACTGGCTAATAGACTGTTTTTTAATAATTTCTATATTCAAATCAAAATACATGATTTTAGTAACTTTTTTTTTTGTTTAATTTTATTAGTTTTTGTAAAAAATTTATCATTTCTTGATCTAATTCTAGAGTTTGTTGTTTCTGTATTTAAATATAGTCTAAAATTTCTTCTTGTATTTTAGCTTTATTATTTTATTTTTTAAAACTTAAAGTTTTTTAATTTTGGTTTAGTTTACAGCTTTTATATTTGAATAAAGTTACTTTTGCTGCTTCTGTTTCTTTATTTCATATTAGTATTCTGTTAATAATTCTTTAGAGCATTTTATTAAATTTTTTCTAATTATTGAATTTATAGTTTCTTTTTTTTATTACTGTTTTTATTAAAATCTAATTTTTTTTTCTTTTGTTATATGAAGGTAGTTTTAATAATACTTTAAGAGCAAATTTGATTGGTTTAGTTATTTTCTAAATTTTTCTTACTAATCTTTTCTTTTTGTCTTATCATATCTTCTTTTTTATATTTGTAAACCATTTGATATTTCTAACCTTGCTTGATTTTTCTTATAATAATTTTAATTGTTTTCAAAAAATTATTCTGTTATCTAACTTCAAAATTAGCTAGCAGCATAACTGTTTCCTTTTCAACGATCCCTCACATTAACTTTTTTCCAAAAGTTTGACCTACGAAAACTATATAGTTATTATATTTAAATATAACAAAACTCTACTTTGGATAACTAGGGAGGCTATTCACTGCATGCTTGGTTGTAACTGAAAAGAGCTAAAAAAGATTCAAACCCTTGTAAGCAAAGTTCCTTGGTAAAACACAAGTACTACCAAGCAAAGAAGTAGTAGATAAGCTCTGGAGCTTTGTCAAGTACTATAAGGGCTTAGGCCTAAATAGTTACTTGGTTTAATATAATATTCTATACAGCATAACTCTTATAACTTCTTTTCAAATTGGCTCTCCTTTCCGCTTTCACTACTAGATTTTTCTTTCGGAATTTTTACCAAAAAGTATGAAATCTGGCATACCCCCTCCAAAGGATTGACATTGTTTACCTTTCCAAATTGGTAACGTTAGTCACAAGAAAACTATGAGACAAGTATCAGATCTATAATGAATGATATATGTCAAACTCAAGAGGAAAATAAAAACTTCGACCATTCTCCTTACGTGATAAATAGAATATATTATAATACAGAGATAAAGCAATTGTAGGGTTTTCTTTATTTAGTATTATACAGAATTTTTAAAGCCTAGTACAGACAAAAATAGTGCCTTCATGTTTTTTGTTTTTTCTTTATTCTTCTTTTTTATCTTTTTCTTTTTTCTTTTAGTTTATGTTTAGGTTTTGTAGTTAGTCTCCTCTTTTTTTTTACTTCCTTTTAGTTTTTCTTTCTTTATCCTGTTGTTCTTTAGGCAAGGATTATAGAATTCTCTTGCTTGATAATTAAAGAAGAGGAAAAAATAAATCGAAGATGAAGCTAGGAAGACATTTTGGAGCTTGTCATGAAAGAAGAAAGATCTTTTCATTATGGACTTTAAGTAGTCAGATGAGTGGTTTACTTCTGCTTGAAGTAATGCAACAGGTTGCACTTAGATGCCATTAAGGTGGCCAGGTGATGCTAGACTTAGTTATTAAATAGATCTATGTAATTGTAGCAATTGCAAGAATCTTAATAAAGTACTAGCATGACTGTCTATAGTTAAAAAAAAAAAAATTAAAAAAAATAAATAAATTAGCTAGCTTATATAAACTAAGTTAAGCTTTCTAAGCAATTTAACTAGATTTTTAGTAAAATTATTGCTTAGTAAACCTGTAATTTTTATAATTTTTTTTCTATATTAAGATCTAAAATTATAAATTTTATTGTTATTTGTATTTTTTTGGTCTTTAGTATAATGTAACATGCTAAATTGTTCTTTTACAAACTTTTATATACTTTAAATAGATTGTAATACTAATTAGTTTCTATTGTTCTTATTAAAAAAAGTTTATAATTGATCTATATTCTAATAAGTGCTTTTTTGAACCTATTGTATTAATTTATATATGCAGACTTGTAATTTGTTTTATAATAGTTAATGCCAAAGAGAGTTGCAATTTTTAAGATTTTTATATATTATGATACTATTGTTTACTATGCTTGTAATTCAAGTTTGTATTTTACTATTCTTAGAAGTAACTTTTGTATTGCTTTAATTACTGTTTTAAATAACTTTATTATCTGTAATAAGTAAGTAAGCTTAGATATTATGTATATATTGTTGATATAAGCCACTTGCACTAATGTTATTTTTTTGGTTTTAAGACTTTTTACTATTATATATACAACTTTTTAAGCTCTTGTTTTGACTAAAAACTCTTTTATTTATTATTAAGCCAAATTTTCAAAAATTTTATTATTTTATTTTTATTTTTTTCTTATATATTTCTATTTTTTATTTTTTTATTTGTATTTATAATTACTAATTTGAATTTTTTTTTATTTATTTGAATATTATTAAGTTTGAAAAATTTTTTTACTATTTGAATTGTCTGTTTCATTTGTTCTTAGTAATTCAGATTGTATTGTTAGCAAAAGTTACAACTGTTTGCCTTTACTTTACTTTTTTATAATAATTAAGTTGTAGTTATATAAAACATTTACTTCAAGTATATCTTAGACTTAAGTTTGCTTAAATTCTTTTAAATAATAAATTATAAAATATTTTCTATACTAAGAGTGATAAAACTTTACTTTGTTCAATTTTATTTTTAACTTTTCATATTTTTGTAGTTTTCTAATACATAATAACTTTAGATTGCCTATTTTTGAACAAATTTAATATAAACTTTA